TTTGGGGGGGGCAGGGTTAAAAATCAGCACTTTTAGTATTTTGAATGACGGTAGATCCGATAGATTATTCCATCTCCTCGTGCTTTATCTTGACAGTTTAATATTATGTGAGACCAAGTCTACACCTGTACACGTGTTTATCAAAAATTGGTTTAAAAATTTAAATACTGCTGCCATTCTGGATGTGGATTACTTTATGTCAATTTAAGCCTAGATTATTTAGGTTTAGCCTGTAATTTCAAATTTAGTGATATAAATATGTGAAGTTTATAATGACAGTTATCCACAGAAGAACCTATGTGTCTGTCTAAAATATGTATTTAGACATACACATTAGTGTGACTTAGTGCATAGACACGAAGCAAGTCATTCTCAGTGAAGCCCTTATTTGTAGGCTTCGGAGGGACTGTTGGCAAAGCAGCATCTTCATAATGGGACGTGCAGCTCTAAAGTGCACCTGGTCATTAGCAGAGTCTGGCAGTTTCAGTCTAGTCCTGTGTTACTATGCAGATTTTGTTTTGGGATCATTTTGAGTGCTATTGAGGTCACTTGTTGATTACTTATGCTGGAATTTATGGGATGTTTATGATGCATCTTGAGGTAGTGGTAGTTACATTTTATCATCTGGAAAATAAAATTGACACGGGCCTTTAAATATCAAGGGAAGCAGAGTAAAGGCTGTCAGCCTTCGTTATATTTATTCACCATGCTTCGTCCTACCTCATGTACAATCCCTTCATCCTCTGTCCCACGGGGATGAATTAAGAGCATGAGCTTCGTTGTAGCTTTGTTGGGCGACGCTGTGTCCTCGCCGAAGTCAAGAGCAGAAATTCCATTAATTTCATTCGGGCCACATTTTCACTGTTGGTTTTTGCTGCTTTGTTGAAGCTTAAATACTGTTAAAATACGTAGTGCTGTGGATACTTTTAGGCAAAGACTGTCTGGAACTTGGCCAATGTGTAGGAGCCACAGGGCAACGCATAACCGGGGAGAGAAGCACATTTCTTGCTGTCAGCATCATTCTATCTGTGTATAGAATGCAGCTTTAGCTAGGAGAGAAAAAAATAAACTTGGGTATTGTACAATAACACCATATTAATAATAGCTCTAGAAATGAATACTTGCCAGAATGGAGCCACTTCATCAATTTATTTTAAATTTCAAAAAACTACATATTTAGAATATATGTAACTGTAATTCCAAAGTTTCTGCATAGTTTATCGCATCCTACTGTCTTGGCTTTAAATCAAAGAAAGAATATTTTATGGAGGATTTATTTGTAGCTAATGTTGGTTGTATAGCTATTGCTGCTCTAGGCTATATTGCGTTTCCCTAAATCATGCAGATAGTGCGTCTGTTATTTAAATGTGAATATCTGACAAACATATTACAGACCTAAGAGTGATTAGAGCACGATGCCTGGAATGAGTAAGTGCTGTAGTCTCTGCCTCTGTCGCAGAGGAATCCTGAATCAAAGTGTCTGGCTGAAGATACAGGTTAAAAAAAACAAAGCCCTTCTGCCTCTTTGTAGGTTTTGTATTCTACTCAGCAGGTCTGCAACAGTCGCTGGGTGTTAGAGAAGCTCAGTTAGTATGAACTTTAAGAAAAGGTTTATTAATGTATGTATTGTATTAAAATGAACTATGTTTGAATGTAAGTTTTTAGCTTTGTTCTTCTTTAAATAATCTTTTAAGTCTAGCAGTTGTTACAAGGAAGTGCTAATCTGGAGTGAATCCTGAAACACATCTCGGTCCATAGAAGAATTACACCTACAGAATAGACATTTGGATGTAAACAGAGTAAAAGTAATGTTTCTTGGGTCCCTAAGTACATTTCACACATATCCTGGGAGTGGGTGAAGAAAACCTATTTGCCTTTGAATTTCTGCAGTGTAAAACGGGTACACAGCAGGAAATTCAGATGCCTAAGCAGTGAGCTTCTTTGGAGTTTAAGCCAGAAGAAAGCCATTTCTATACCCCTGTTGCTGCAGTGATGATTTTCACAACTGGAGACTAAGTGGCACAATTTTGTCTTCCTGAAACCACACTGTACTGCTGCTGCTCAGCCTTTTTCATTACTGGTGAAATTAATAAGTAGCAAGGCTCTCTAGTGTCGCTGCTGTGTTTCAGGTGCCCACGGACAGCAGAGAGGCTGGTAGGAGTTGCTCTCACTTTCCCAGCTAACAGCAGAATTAGGCTGCAGCCATCATCAGCACAGCCAGGAGAAGTTGTTTCATTAGCACTTTACATTCATCCACCTCTCTTTCATCCCACTTTCTCTTCTAACAGTATCTTGTTAATAATTTTTTAGTTCTCTGAGATGAGAGTACCGAATAAACTTTCCGGTGATGTTTAAATGCAGCATTTGGGTGAAATGGAGCAATTTCAACAACACACAAAAATATAGTTGATCCTTTTTCATGGCTGCATGTACCTTAATTTATACCAGCAGCCCCCGGGTACAAAGCCTCCCTGTCTGGTCACGTAACCCACCTGGTTGTTACTCTTCCAGCTCCTTGTGCTGGCTCAGGTGGACATTTCTGCCCTGGCTCCTCACCAGGTCTTTGGTTTTTTTCTTTCTAGACATACCTGAAGCTCATTGCCAGTCACAGCATATTTCTGCTGACTTCGGGGCACTTGGCCCCACGTGTGCTTCCAAACAAGCACTCTTGTTCTCTCGGATGAACGTGTGTGCATAGTGGGGTGTATTTTTGTTTCTTTTTTCCTTTTAAGTGTGCTGTTGAAGCCAACGTGGATGCTTAGCCTCCCGAGCAATGCTTGCTGGCATTGACCAGGGCTCTTCCAAGTGGGGAAGTTGTTAAGTGCTGGGGAAAGACTTCCAAAAGAAGCCTCGAGTCTGATGCCTGGGTCCCCACAGCTCTGATCCGTAGCGGTGTGCGGAGCTGCTCGCCAGGAGGAGAATGGATTCGGCAGCTGTCCTCTGGGACAGGACCGTGGTGGCCTTTAATGACAATGACCAAGGAGGAGATGGAGGATTCTGGTCTTGCTTATTCACATGGTATTGACTCAGTTGGGTAACAGTGTTTAGTACAGAGAATTGGGGTTTTGGTTGTTTGGGGTTTTTTCTTCCTTCTGACAAGACCCCTGCTCTCGCATAGATTGGATTTCTGCACACTCAGGTATCAAATATACACACCCATGGGGTATTTTTACAAGCACTTAGTCATCAAGCTCTGAGCTGGTGACGTGGAAAGATTTGATTTCTGTGTACGGAAGAGAAATGTGTGTGTGCAGATGCGTGTTGGAATTGCCTTCAGCGCATTTGGAAATTTGATACTTAATTTCAAAATAGTACCAATAAATATGTTGATTCAAAAGAGGAGAGTGAGCTTTTTCTCTTTCGGAAAGACTTAGTTAAAATTCAGGAAGTCAAACTGCTGAGGAGGTAGCACTAGGATTTATAAAACAACAGTAAAAGGGAAGCTTAATTAACATTTCACTACCCTTTCAATTGCACTGAAAGCATGTCTGGTTTATCACCCACCTAAATATGTTAGTTTGTATTTGAAGAATGCTTGTGACAGTGAGCCTTCAGGAGAAAGCTCAGCTTTTTCCTATAATCTCATTATAGCATTTGTATATTTGATTTGCTTGCTTTGACCTTGAATGATTTAGAGAGAATATTCAACGTATATATCATGTATTTCTGGGAATCAGTACTTGAGGTTGTTTTCTTTATACTGTTAGTATATTCTTAGCTGGAATTTAATTTTTTTTGTGGGTTTTCCTGTTCTAAACAATGTACTGCTGGCACACCCTATGTTAGTAATTTGGGCATTGTTGGATGAGCACACGCAGGATGGCAGCACACAAGAAAGCAAGTCATCCCTGGGAAGGATGCTGCTTTGTGTGCCTTAGGCTGAGTGAAGTAGCAGCAGCTGTTTTTCTTTCTTTCCCTGAAGAACACAGTGATAACAGAAATGGGATATTTAAAAGGGCAGCATAGATTAATGGGGCAGTAATAAAACAAATGAGACCCATTAGCAAAATCACTGCTTGAAAAGTAGATTTGGTGATAAGTGCCCTTCAGTGCCTCGTGTGGTAAAATTGTTGCAGTACTTGTAACGTCATCCATGGTGTTGGATTTTAGACTGTTGTGACAATCCTAAGTGATAGGATCTTAAAATAATTTAGATGAAGGTAAACTTCATTTGCACTTAAATGCTTGGTAGAAAACTTGAATGTTTATGTCTAAATGTGAAGACAAATTCTTTTCTTTCAAACCTAGGCAGAATGTTTCCGCATGCTCCCAAAATCTCTCATCAGAAAACAAAGCCTTTTTTTGTTGTTCCGTTAAGCCTGCAAGGTGATCACGAGAACTTGGAAAGCCTTATTTTACTGCTGGAGCGCTGGTTCTGTGGGGACTAATGTTCAGAGTTTGAACTGGAATTGGTGGCTTTAGCAAGACCTTCTACTTTTAAATTGTTGATTTTCTATTAGATTAACGACGGAAGGTGTGCAGTGCACTCAAAACGCTAGGTCTCTGCTTTTTTAGACCAGGTAGTTTTCTGAAGCATTTGATAAAAAAGGAAAAGACACTAAATTACTTAGGTTACAGGGTCTGTTGCCTATAAGGAGAAAAACGTTTGGGGTTTAGAGATAAAACACGTCCACAAATCAACTGATCGAAGCCAAAGATACTAGTTCAAAAGTGGCCTTTCACTGATCTTCAGGAGGTGGCTGGGTCCGAGTCTCTGAATTTGACACATTTTGCTTCCCTTTCTCCCTCCCAAAACGCACGGCTGTGCTGTGGTGGGGTTTGATTTTTAAAATTTTGTTTACTCCTTTCCCGGCGTAGCTGTGTTAAATCCGAGCTCAGGCGGCGAGCGGCGAGCACCGCGCTTCCTGCGGGGCGCGGAGGGCGCGAGGGGGGCGCCGCTCCGCTCCGGCGGTGGCAGAGGAGGGCTGGGAGGCGGCTGTTGCTATCGCTCTGATGTCAGGCGCTCTTGCTAACGTGTGGTTGGTTATTCTGCGTTTCAGATCGCCGCCGGTAGCGGAGCACAAAGGGGACGGCGAGACTCCCGCATCCCTCAGCGAGAAGAAAGGAGTCAGCGGAGCAGACTAACACGGACTTGTGTCGGGTGGCCTTGCCCTACAAAGGCTGCCTTTAAAAGAGAAACGCAGTGTTATTTAATGAGCTGTGAGATGAGGCGCTGCTGCTAACGCTCAGATCCCGGGATTCATCGGCTCTTCATTGTGCTTAATGTACATGTTTCTGCACCGTGCATTTAGGAGATCCCAGAGAAGAATCCAAAACGGCTGCGGGGGAAAGACCACCAAACATGCCTACAGAAACACTACCGACAGGTAGCATGGTGAAGCCAGTCAGCCCTGCCGTGACTTTCACGTCCGCCGTTCCTCTCCGCATCCTGAACAAAGGACCCGACTATTTTCGCAGGCAGGCGGAGCCTAATCCAAAAAGACTGAGCGCGGTGGAGAGGCTAGAAGCCGACAAGGCGAAATACGTCAAGAGCCAGGAGGTCATCAACGCCAAGCAGGAGCCCGTGAAGCCGGCGGTGCTGGCGAAGCCGCCGGTCTGCCCCGCAGCCAAGCGAGCGCTGGGGAGCCCCACCTTGAAAGTCTTCAGCAACAACGCCAAGACCGAGAGCGGCGTCCAGAGAGAAAATCTGAAACTCGAGATTTTGAAGAACATCATCAACAGCTCCGAAGGCTCCAGCTCGGGTTCAGGGCATAAGCACGGGCCCCGAAACTGGCCGCCCCACCGAGCCGACTCGACGGAGCTGAACCGACACTCGTTTGCTGAATCTTTGAAGGTTTACCCCACGCAGGGCCGTAGCAGCCCGCAGGAGAGCAGCTCCAATGTCAGCAGAAGGCTCCTAGATCAATCGGCAGAGACTTTCTTGCATGTCTCTCACAGCTCCTCAGACATTAGGAAAGTAAATAGCGCAAAGCCCTTAAAAGCAATACCCTGCAGTAGTTCAGCCCCACCGCTGCCTCCAAAGCCCAAAATCGCTGCCATCGCCACCCTGAAGTCCCCAGAGATTGAGGCAGTTGAGTCTGGATGCGGAGTTAGTCGAAGACCCTCCCTACAGCGATCAAAATCAGACTTAAGCGACAGATACTTTCGTGTCGACGCAGATGTTGAACGATTCTTTAACTACTGTGGACTGGATCCTGAAGAGCTTGAAAACCTCGGGATGGAAAACTTTGCAAGGGCTAACTCTGATATCATATCCCTCAACTTTCGCAGTGCAAGTATGATTAGCTCAGACTGTGAACAGTCTCAGGACAGCAACAGTGACCTTAGAAATGATGACAGTGCCAATGACCGTGTGCCATATGGCATTTCTGCCATTGAAAGGAATGCCAGAATCATCAAGTGGTTATATAGCATCAAGCAAGCTAGAGAGTCACAGAAAGTGTCCCACGTGTGAGAGAAAAATCCACCGTAGAAAAAGCAAGGACTGTATCTTTGTCTGTGAATATTCAGTTGTGAAGGGTTGTGAAGTCTACTTGAAGTCTTGTACACTTCTCAAATCTCTTTGTGTTGCTTGTTGTGCAATGTTTCCAAGTTGCATGCCTGTCAACATGTGAGCTGACCTGGCTTCCACTTGAACAATAACTAACTACAAAGCCTGGCTGAGCATACACATTGTCTGCCAAAAGTTTAAGACGAGAATCTGATTAGGGCTTCAGTATAATCCAAGTGTTTACATGGAAAGGTTATATGACTTCTTTGGTATTTATGTGGTTCCTTGTGGATTTTATATATGTCCCTTTTTGTCTTCATACAGATATTGTCAACTGATGTTACTAGTTTCTGAGTTGAAACAGAATCCCTGTGGGGGGGAAAGAAAAGCAAAATTGGCCAAAATAAGAGGTTTAGGCATATGACTATATGCAAAGCAGCCTTATTTCTCGTAGAAAGTGCATTATTGGCATGTGTAAAGCAATTTCTAAAAGGCAAAGAATGCTACATTCTTAAATTATGTATCATTGTTAAACGCTGTATCCCTACTTGTAGTAAGGGACTGTTCAGTAAAGGTTTCTTTTTTCTACGTAAGTTCCCTCAGTTTTACAGCAGAAGTAGTCTAGTGAATCTGCTTGACCTCTCATAAACTGAATGAGTCTTGCATTTGGGTTGGTGTAAGCATTTTAATGATTTTGTATTATCCCTGTTGGAAAAGCTTAAAGAAGGTTGGAGTCAACAAATGAAAATGACGTAGGTGCGGGATTTTGTGGGTTTGCTTTTTACTCAAAGATTCCTGGTCTTAAACTTTTGACAGGAATGATTAGATCCTATAGCTGATATTGAATGTCTTTATTAGTCAAACACATCATGACTACAAACTCCATGCTGTCTTTTAAGTTTTTGTAGACCTATTTGAACAGTTAACGAACAAAAATGGAAACACACAGCCATATCAATATAACACCTCCTACTCAGAAGTAAATACACTCAGTAGCTAAACTATATCTGAAAAATTGTGATTATGTTGTCTTGCATATGTTATATCTAAGGCTGTGAAAGTTTGTTACAGCTCTAGGAAAGTGTAGGAACATGACAGTATGTAGCTTTTCTTTCTTTTTTTTATTTTTTTTTTCCTTTCCCTCCTTATGATGGTTAGTGCTGCAGGTCAACCTGTTACAAATCTTTTGACAATCTGTGTCTTCCCAGTGGTTTTATTAACTGTCATTTCAACTGACAGTGGTGGCATGGTAGCAGAGAAGTTGAAAGTACAGTGGTCTGCTTCATTATTATTGTATACATGCTTTGAAGTAAATTGCAGCACTACCTTATACTTCATCAGCTAATAGGAAACTTTTTTATTGTGTAAATGCTGTAAGACTTTGTATATACTTCAGTTGTTACGAAATCTTTAAAAGGAAGAGTGTTATGCTAATAAATAGCTCCTGGTGCAGGTATGGTAGGTTTTTTGTTCTTTTTTACCCCCCTCATTCTTAAAACTATATCAGGAACTCGATCGCAGTGTGTTTTAGTGCTGTAGAAGGTCTTGGTTAAATAATAGTTCCAGTAAAAGGTTTCTTTTACTAAAGTGCTTTTCAGAATATAATTTTTTATAAAGTAACTATAGCAGCATGATCTGTCTGAAGAACTAGAAGAGATTTTCAAGACTCCTAAAATAGCTTGCTTCTTCCTTACCTAGCAATGTTACTGTTCCCATTTATATCATCTGTTCATAATGAATCACCACAGTCTTCTGAATTATTCTTCAGTAGTGCTTATTTATATATTTGAATATTAAAGATGTTTTAAAAAGTTGGGTTCCATCTTTTCTCTAAGAAGCCAGTAGCCCAGCTTGTTACCGATAGCCACAGTTATTGCAGGTGAGACCAGATGCAGAGCCACACAGTCATTTGTCGCCTATAGAATTATCCTACATCGAGTTTTATATAATGGTTTTCCAAATGATTGTTCATGGGGGGAAAAATGCACACGTACCATTTCAGGAGGCTACTTTGTGGTTTTTACAGTTGGCTTCACAACCTAAGACTTACAACATTCCTAGTTCGGTCAAAAAAAATGAGGAGCTATGTATTTCAGCTACAGGCACATTTGTGACATTTTAAGCTCCATGGGTTTCATTTGGCATTGACATCACACTGTTTTTTCAAGCATATTTTTCCAATAGTAAGTTCTACTCAGTTCAGTGACTATTTTGCCAAGGAAAATAATGCTTAAGGGATTAAAGCCAAGTGTAATGCAGCTGTACAGCAATGAAATAAAGGAGTTAAAACTGAAATAAAAATGCACTCACATTGTTCTCTCTCAAGTGTTTTAAGAATGATGATAAACATGCTATCTCAACTGTTGTCAGCCAGAAACAGTACTAAAGAAGCCTTTATAACCAGCAAATGGATTAGAGCATATGCTAGTACTCCGAACTTGTTTCCCAAGGATGGTTAGGAAGCTCTTGAGAAATCAAATTCATTTCCTTTTAATGCTACAAGAGGTTTAGGCTGGTGAGCTATCTGTAAGAGAGCATTTCCTCACCTGAGATCTCGAGCAACACCTTTGACACAGCCCAGGCTCTGACTCTGCTGTCCCTGCTTCTTGCAATATGCACGTGAATGAGACTTTGCAGGACCCAGACCTTCACAGTCAACTGAACTTGCAACTCTGGTGAGGTTGCAGTAGTAGAAATCACAAGGTTGCAGAATGTCCACAAGGCTTCGAACAAGCAGTAGCAATTGCCTTCATTTGTCACTTCATTGCAGTTTATGCAGATAAGATTTATTTATTTATAGTCTTGCTATTTAGCTGTACGTTTGCATACAAACCGAATCATTGGTGTCTGATGTGGTTTTGTTTTCAACTGGGAACAACCATTTTGCCCCTGCAGACAGGTAATCCCACCCTGTCGAGAGGGCCCGTTGTTTGTCTCTGCCTGAGGAGGTTGCCGAACGTTGAATTTTCAGGGAGCTGTAACCAACTCAAACGCCTCATCAGGGGCCCGTTCTAGCCGTGGTGCCTCCAGCAGGCATTTACTCAGGTGCAAAGCACGTACCGAGTGTCCGTGGTTAAATAACAGCTCCTGTTGCAGCAGCAGCTCTGGAGGGAGATGTAAGCCTGTGGCATCCTGTGAAAGCTAGTACTGAGTCCAGCACTGACAGTCCTGGCCCCAGAAGTGAAGAAAAATGCAGTATGTTTTCAGTAATTAGTGTGAATTCACACTCATGCACACGAAAGAAACCACCACAGGGGTTTATGGTGATTCTGTTATTTTGACTTGCCGGGGGGGATGGGGGGTGGGCAAAGGAAGAGGAAAATGATATGACAAAAGTACACTTTGAAAGCTATGTACAGCTCTGCGCAGATAAACCATTTCTCTGAGTGAAAGAGATGGGCAGCAAATTAAAACTGGTCTTTTAATCACTTCATATTATGTAGTAGCAATATCGTGAAAGATGAGAGATACAGGATCTGTATTCTGCATTTGCATTCAACAACTACAAGTACTGAAATTTTCTTTTTTATGAATACTGTTTCTGCAAAGGGAGAGTCCAGTGCTGCAAGCGAATGCACCATCTGAGTGACCGAGGGCTTTTGAAGGGTAAACATAGACTGATGATGCTTTTGGCAGAAATTCAGGAATCAAAAGACACGCTCAGACAACAGAGCCAATCAGTATTGCTGACTTATCTCTTTCTACAGCAGTTTATCCATCCATGGAGGCCGTACACGTTTGATTCCAGTCATTCAATGAAAAACAAAGTGCTTAATGGAGCTCTGCAGTACAGAGCTGAATAATTTCAGTCTGCGGGGGAACAGGAAAGGAGCTAAACCTTAAGAATAGTCTTCCCAATACCTATTGATTATGAGTTGATAATGTTTAGTATGTTTTATTCAGAGCTCACTTGTCCATAAGAAATTTTTTATTAGGCAGGCTAGTCAAACCAATAAATCTGGGAGGTGCCAGTTTTCCAAGGCTATAAAACTCATGTTTTACGTGATTAATGGTGCTGCACCAGTAGCTGAGCACACTAGGCTTAGAATATAAGAGCATCTGGAGCTTTGTTCCCATGAACAGTAAGGGTCCATTGCCCCTTTTGGCAATGAATATAAATGCAGATATAGTGTAAGGTCCCTTTGTGCTGTACAAGAGAAGAAATTGGTCAAGGTGTTTTGACCTGAATTGTAATATAACTCTATATTAAAATCCTTTTTACCAAGGCTTAGATGTTCACTGATGCTCTGAATTCATCTGACATTCCTTGCTGTCAGCAGAAAGACTCCAATAATCTGCCCTTTGAAATATATCACCCATAGCTTAATAGGAAAGGCCATTAAAATCGTCTGTTCAGTGTAAGGACTTTTATCTCCTGATGATGGCATCTGTTTAGTAAACCTCTAAATAAGCAATTTTCAGTCGGAAGTATTAACCCACAAACACCTTTTATTTTTCTCCCAGGAGGCCCAAATGGTGATCAATAGCTGTGTCCTAGTGTTTGTTGCAGTTGGTACGTTGCTGCTAAAATACTCGGATGTTGTCCATTTGGGGTGCAGCACAATCTGAAGTGGAGATACCTACACCGCACCATCTGTCTTGCCCTGGTAGGTATGAATAGCCGTCAAGCATATTTTGTATTTGATCACTTCAAAATTCGGTTGTGGCTGCCCATCAAATCTTAGTAATAATAAGTAGTGACTTTTTTTTTTTTTTTTTTTAGTTTTCATTAAAAATAATCATTTATATAACAAAAACTGTAGTCTCTTAAATGTCATTCTTCTAAATTTAAAGTCACTTTCATGATGGTCTTATGACAAGAGTAAGAGAGTGCTAGTATCTGTGCTATTATTGTTTCTTGCTTTTGGCACGGCAAGTCTTCTCCACCTCCTTGGTGTCTTGCCTTTTCTGAGTTTTCCCAGCTTCCATTCTTCCTTTCTGCATGCTTCCTTCCTTGTCTTGTCTGGATTTTTAATCTTTTCTTCTCTGAAGTGCATGACCAAGGTTGTCATATTCTCCTCGCTTCGCCTTTCTTAAACATCCTCATCCCTCAGTGATGTTAATGCCCCTGAATCCCAAAGCAACTTTCCCACAACAACTTCTGTCTTTTACAACCCCCATATTCATGCCAGCCTGTTTCCAAGAGAGTAACACTGTGGCTGCAGTTGAGTTGACATGTCCTGAATAGGTAGTCTATTTAATGGATTATTTTTTAATTTTCTGGTGTGCCATGCTATTTTCAGGCAAGAAGAAAGAACAAAAGGTGGTTCTTCAGGGACAAGTAGTGATTGAAAACACTCATGAAGAACAGGATGCCAAAAATACCTTGAGATACCAACCTCATGGTCCAAAATTCCCTGTATTTCTGTCTCTGCTATATCTTGCTCAGTGCATACTATTGCTGCTACTTTGGCTCCATATTGGCTTGAGGATTGCAGTGTGCAAAGGTGGTACAATTTCCAGTTAAAATAATTACACTATTCGAGCAATAGTTACTGTTATGCCTTCTGCTGTTTGGTAACGCGGTACTCGTGTGTCTTAGACCCACAGCATCCAGGCCACTAGCGCTGAGTGGCCACCACTTGCAGCCTGTCCTCAGTTCCCAGGCAGCCAGCCCAAGAGTGCTGCCTAAAAAGACTATCGTAAAACAAGAGGACAGTGAAAGAACCAGGAGAGACAAAGTTTTGTCCTCACCTGGCTATTGCAGGAACCTTCCAGCTGTGGTAAGAAAAGAGCAGGTTTGGAAGCTCAAATCCCCAGGCTGCCGTCTCACGCAGCCCTAAGGCTGAGGGTCAACACGTCAACCTGCATAGGGAAAAAGGGTGTCTCTGTGTTCATCTGGGAGACAGGATAAATCGGTGTATGGAAGCAGAAGGCACTTGGTGAAGCATGCCGCTATTTCAGTAAATACCTGCTATTCATATCTTAATGAAGAAGGAGGGGAAAAAAAGAACAGGGTGGAAATTTGGAGAACAGCTGTGTATGCAAATGCTTTCAGACAAGATGCGGAGGTGGGTAGATCATTTTGCTTTTTAAGAAATGAAGCTTTTAAAATATCTTTTAGTAATTGACCTGCTTTTCACGTGTATTAATCTTTTATGAAGTCAGTCTTGCCATTCTGAACTGTAAAAGCTTTGCTACCCTCAGCACAGCATTTAGAAATGTACTGACAGTGATTTGGAATGGCTTAAGTAATAGGATAAAGGGGTACCTAGCTGAACATGAACTTTATTTTACTAAAGTTTTGGAGGATGGTTGTTTTGTTCTTTATTTTTAGTAGATTGTGGAAGGCAACACAAAATTAACAGTCTTATATATCAATGTTTGCCTGCAAATAAGACTGGGAAGAACGGGTTCAGTTAATCTGACTGCATGAAAATGACAGTATTAGGTTTTGTCAAAGCCTTGATTTTCTTTATCCATGTTTTGCATATCTTGGAGCATATCAGCTTACACATATCTGGCACAAAACAAACTCATCCCATCTGAAAACACTTTCTGTGAGCTTATGGGTTTGAGTCCATCTGCTGAATTTTCTTTTGTGTTGAAGGACTCTGAACAAAGAGCTGCCATAATGCTTTCGATTTCCCATGGTTTTGTTTCTAGCATGTTCGGCTAATGAGGCCTTTCAAACGCTCTCCTACAGACCGAGTGAAAATTGGAGCTTTGTATCAGTGTATACTCCTGTATTGAATTCAAGAGGTTGAGAGCAGGCAAGAAGTCATATTGTAAATTTTTTTTTTTTTTTGCTATTGTTTCCTAAATGAAATTTCAGGGTTGGGATTTTTTTTTCTCCCAGATGCCATCCAATGAAACAGAACCAAAGAAGCTAATAAAACCATACAGGTTTTCCCCACAGTGGGAATTTTACCACTGATTTTAAGTGGGACGTGCAGGATTTCACCCACTGTCAGCTTAATATTTTGCCCTATTTGGGGGTGGGTTTCTTCTGTATTTTAAATCTCATGCATTAGTTTTCTACTGCTTCCTCACCTATTCTTCTGCCTCCCCAAGCAGCAGAAGGGGGAAATCCCTCACAGGAGCCCTGGGAGCAGGGAAACCTGGCTCAGGGGTGCAGAGATCCCTCCTTGCTTTCAGACAGACCCACAGCAGCATGGCAATAGCACCCACTGTTTGCGGCACTTTCTGGCTGGGCCATCAGCCTGGCTTGGTTCAGAGGTTAAAAAAACCAACATTTTCTCTGACCTTATTTATCTTCCTGGCTTGCAGGTGTGTCCCGCTGTAGCCTGGCATTTTTAGAAGTGCACAGATCTTATCAAAACGGCATTAGTCACCCAAAGAGGC